TCGGCGCCATGGTTCTCAACGTCTTCCGAAAGGCCGAGGTCGAGCTCTCGGACGAATCGAAGGCCTTTATCAACTCGCTGCCATCGACGTTCATCAACCTCTTCCGTAAGAAGCGCAACCTCTTCCCTGTCTGGAGCTCGCACAAGTACTGCGTCATGATCAAGGCCAACTTCCTCGTCTACTACCGCGCGGCGAAAGCAGCGGCGACGACCGACGACCGCCACTACAAGTTTTTGAACCTCAAGGCCTGCCAGATCAAGCTCGTTGACGACGACAACCTCGGCAACGTCTTTATCATTACACCCGAGACAGGCCGTGGCAGCGTCACGTTCGCCGCCGACAGCGAGAAGGATCGCGCCAAGTTTGTCACACACGCCCACGGCGTCCAGCGTCTCGTTCCGTCGCCGACCGACTTTGCGACGCTCAAGCTCATTGGGAAAGGCCATTACGGCCGCGTGATCCTAGCACGCGGCCCCAACGCACAGCTGTACGCGATCAAGGAGATGAAGGCAGGGCAGGTCAAGCCCAAGGTCATCCACACCGAGCGCATGGTCATGGAGTGGGTGGCCGAGCACCCATATGTACTTGGGCTCGACTACGCCTTCTCGAGCGGCCGATCGCTGTACCTAGTCTCCAAGTTTATGCCGGGTGGCGACCTCTTCCTTCACATGCAGAACCACGGCGGGTCCTTTGCCGAGTCGGTCGTGCGCTTCTACGCCACGGAGCTCGTCTTGGCGCTGGAGCACTTGCATACAATGCACATTCTGCACCGCGACATCAAACCTGAGAACGTGCTCCTTGACACGGACGGGCACATCAAGCTCGCCGATATGGGACTCTCGAAGCGCCTCGAGACCCACCATGCCCGCACCAAGACCATGTGCGGCACCGACACATACCTCCCGCCCGAGATGGTGAGCCGATCGCCGCAGGGCCACGGGCTTCAAGTCGACATGTGGCAACTCGGCTGCCTCTTGTACGAACTCCGATCTGGGTACCCCCCGTTTTATTTGCCACAATCCAAGCAAAAGCACACGCACCAGCGCATCCTGTTCCAGTCGCCCAAGTTTACGGCCACGATTTCGCCCGAGTTTCAAGATTTGCTCACGAGCCTGCTCGAGAAGGACCCGACCAAGCGCCTTGGGAACACGGCCGGCATCGCCGAGCTCAAGGCCCATCCATGGTTCCATGGCGTCGATTGGGACCGTGTTTTGAAGAAGGAAATGACGCCGCCTATCGTTCCCAAGCCCGCTGGCGACGACTTTGTGGGCAACTTTGACCCGCAGTTCACCGAGCAGCCGCACTCGCTCGACGAGGCCAACGCCAAGGACGATGCTTTCTTCAACGCAAGCAAGGACTTTGCTGGCTTTGACTACGTGCGGCCGAGCTTGAAGCCACCTGCACTCGAGCCATCGCTGGACGCCGGCATGGTCACGCTCAAGCTCTAACGCAGTCCAATCTGCTGTAACCTTGTTCCTTAATCCCACACACGTCCGCACACGCGTTTGTAAACTTATGACCGTCGCCAAAAACGCATTGTCATGCCGACCACCATCGCCGCTGTGAGAGCCGTGGCAACTGTGCCAAATGGCATCGCATCGATCGTCGACGCGTCGTCGTCAGTCACGGGCACGAGGCGGGACGTCGACCACGAAGTGAGCCCGAGAGACATGCGGGCGAGCGAGAGGTACACAACAAGGTAGGTCTCGGGCGACGGGGAGAGTTCGAGAGCGCGCTCGTAGTAGCGTCGGGCGCGGTTGGCGTCGGCGGTAATGCCGTCGTCGCCGTGTTCGTACAGAAACCCGGCGTTGTACGCCCCGATGCTGAGTCCATCGGCGCTCGCTTTGGTGTAGTAGGCCAGCGCTTTTCGAACGTCCTTGGTCACGCCGCCCTTCCCGTAGTAGTAGCAATCGCCGAGTCGAAGCGACGCCTCGATCTCCGTGGCTTGGAGTAAATACTGCGCATGGTCGCCGCCGACGAGACCATACAAGTAGGCGAGGTTGCCCGTCGCCACCGGGTAGCCGAGTTCGTGTGCTTCGTGGTAGCGCCAGATGGCGCCTTGCATCTCACGCCGACGGTACAGGTCAAAACCCAGGCGGGCACTCTTCCCCCACGGCCCGGCGTCGGTCGTTGCCTGGAGATACGGCATCGCGGCTGCAAGATTTCGGTGGTCGTTGCCTGTTGGCCGGACGCCGAGGTAAAACGCGCCGAGCTCGTAGACCGCGTCAAAGTGCCCAAACGACCGCGCGGCCACCGTGAGGTACTCGAGGGCACGGGTCGTATTCACCTCGGCGCCGAGGCCGCGCAGATAACAGTACCCGGTATTGAAGAGACTGTCGCCGTCCGACTGCAGCTGGGCCGCTGCTTCAAAGTACTCCAACCCTTTGGTTTGGTTTTGAGTCACGTTGGCCGAGCCGTAAAAGTGGATGTAGCCAAGACCGTTCAACGCTCGTACGTTGTGGGCGGCCGCTGCCGTCTCGTAGTACGCGATGGCCGTGACGTTGTTTTGGTCGACGCCTTCGCCCTTGAGGAGCATGCCGCCAGCCGCCGACTAGATGCACGTCAGACACCATGCCTTCGCCAACAAGCCAATCTCGGATTTATATACTGTACCATGGCGACGACATGGCCGGCGTCGGCGGCGCGCTGAAAGTAGCGAAATGCCCGGGCGTGGTCGCGCACGCAGCCGCGGGCGCCCCAGTAGTAGAGGTCGCCCATTGCGGTCATCGCATCTAGGTCGCCCTCGACGTCGGCGCGCATTTTTTGAAATTGAATCCATGCATCGTCGTCGCCGGCTTGGCCCAGCGTCACATCGACGTCGTCGGCGTGGAAGAGCGAGTTCATTTCGTGCCTACGACCACACAGTTGAACTCGGTACTAGTATGAAAGATGGCACCGTACAGCGGTTCTTGGCCGGGGCGATGATACGCGCGATGGGCCTCGGTCCCCGCCCAGCTGTAGTACTGCGCCGCCGTCTCGGCATCCTTCGACTGTTGGTACTTGCGCGCCAAGATCGCCATTGCCGTAACGTCGCCAGCCATGGCAGCGACATGAT